TGGAAAATACGATAAATGATAGAAAAATAATACATCCTTGTCTATCTCGGTGGTAGTACCTTCACTACAAAATTACAGCTACATTGTGTACTCGGGTTAGAAGAAGTTATTATAATCACACTTAACTTAGGGTAGGTACCTCCTTTAGGAAACTTAAAGTAGCTAAGTCTCTAACTCAATATCATCCAAAATCTTCGACATTGAAAACACGAATTATTTGTCAATTTAAATCAACATTGATGTTGTGATCTTACCGGGAAAAGATGGGCTTCTGATATCCAATATTTAAGACAAAATAAACATTTTACCATTGGTACACGAATCGTGTACCATAATGCGTTTCATGCCCATTCTAACAAGGGACTCGAAGAATGAGGCTAGACATTCAACAAGTCATGTCAAACGGTGACGGCATAATATCGGGAGAGTATGCGCAATAAATACTATGTAGACTAGAATAACCAGACGCTAGAAATTTCCATTCGATTGAGACTTCTGACATATTTCGCCGAACGTAACTGATTTGAAATTAGAGTAAAAATTGAAACGATTGAGTGTGAATCAGTTTATATATATTCCTATTACATTATTATATGCGTTACGACCCATTTGTGTCAATTTTTAGGTCCAAAATATTAGCGATTTAGCTCCTTTAAAGTTAAACATACATCATGCAAGACCTAAATCTGCCTATTTCAGATCTTACTTTAGGCCTGAAATGTTATCTAAATTATTAATTAAACATTAATTAACTTATCCAGACCATAATCAACTCCCGATGGCATCGCTAGCCTGCGATGTTTATTGGATTAGGTTCCGATTTGCTTTTCGACTCCCATTCATAATTTAATCATGAAATGGATAATCGAGACTATGTTTTTTATCCTATCGACTTTAGTAAAAATTCAATCGCTAAAATCTCGGTTCATAGTGGACCAATTTGACTGAAATTTTCAGCAAATTGCCTTTACATTATCTATTCTTTAAGTGGCATTTAGTAACTGGGCAGATAAATGAACTATAAACATACTTATGGAAAACAGCTACTGATTTATTTAGGCGACGTTTCGAAGAGTATTCTCTCAAAGTTTTCAAGCGTGTACTCTGTTGTTCCGGGTGCCATTTTGTAATGAACAATAAAAACATATCCTACAACACAATGTGGAAGTAATTAGTAAAGGCTGATTCACAAACGACAAAATAATAATTTAAAAAACTTGTAGCACGCACTAAGCAGGTGTAAACTGTGCACATATTTCACCGAACATAATTGATTAGAAATTAAAATTGAATATAAATCACTTTACATTCATATTACATTAACATGTGCTTTTAGAACCAATTTTGTGTATTTCAAAGTTCCAAAAATAGAGCCCTTTAAACTGGCTTTTGAATACCACTAAACGACTAAACAATTATAGTTAAGGCAATTTGATACTTAACGTTGCCTTTGAATACCACTTACCATTAACTTACAGGAAGTGACATATTTTTATTAAATGAAATCTGGTAGTTAAAGATACATTATGCAAGAACTAAATCTTATCGTTTGACCTTAAATGTTATATAAATCATTATTTAGACATTTATTCGCATGCCAAGGCTACAATAAAGTCCCCAGACCATCGGATGGTTTTGATTTTCAACGGATTTAAACACGATTGACAGTTACTGATTTAATTAAAAAATGGATAATCGATACTTTGTTATCGTAACAACGGTAGCAATGACAATCGAGACTACACTGTTCTTCAAACGGCCATAACTCCGCTCAGAATCAAGTAATTTTAATGGAAGTTTCAACATATTCCCTTTTCATTATCCATTTCTTAACTATTATAACGAGAACCATCAGCTTTTTATCTAAATCTTAGATAATGCACCTTTAAATGACTTAAGATTCCCTTTGAATATCTCTCCCGGACTTCGCACCAAAATCATTTTTAGCGAGCAAAGCGCACTACCTAGGTACAGTTTTGTAAAATGGGCGAAGGGTTGGAGGGGGGGGGGCGCACTTCTAAATCTAGCAATGTCCCCATCCTCCCTTAAATCTGACACTGATTTTAAATGAAAATCTGGCGTTATCCGCATACAATGCAGAGAGGGAAATGGGGTTTAACGTCCACTCGACAGAAACTAGGTCATTTCGGGACTAACATATGGTTTGATCTTATTTCACGTACTTGTCACGTACATCAGGTGAATCGAAACCACGCCAGTTGACTCAAAGACAGACCTTAGGCTAGGTCCAAAATTCAATCGCTAAATTCTCGGTTCAGAGTGGATCAATTTGCTTGAAATTTTCAGCAAATTCCCTTTACACTGTCTAGTTTTTACCTATTATAGTGAGAACTACTACCAGCTCTTTATCTAATCTCCCATAATGTATCTTTAATTATTATTCCCAAATATTTCTCAATAAATGAAACATGTTAAACTCATGCATTTAATGTTAGAATAAAATACATTCCAGGAATTATTCCGCCTCCATTGGAACCTGTTTTATGCCATTAGCTAATTCCTCAGACAGAATAACTAATATGCTATTTTTATTTCCTATATTTTGTAATAAAATTAGATTCCTAAATTTTATTCGTTTTTAACATGCGATATCTATTGAGCGTCAGTATTGCTAGTGACTGGTTTATGATTAATAAATGGCTTGTATTATAAGGCTTTTTGTTCGAGGACAATTTCCACTTTAGCTCGAGGCTAAACTATTATACAGTGTTTTATACTGCTATGCCAACAATCGCAACATATGCATAGGGTAATATTTTTTTATATTGCACATCGTTTAGTGTCTCGCACTTATAAACACCAAACTTGATTTAAATTTACACTTTTAAATGTTGCTATGACTTTTAATTTTTATTCTGATTTAGCCACGAGAAACATTTTAAATTATAAAATATAAACCAGCACAGTTTATCAAGTACAAAGAAAATGAAATGGGGTTTAACGTCCTACTGTTCTGCTCCTACTGATTTGCCCGGGCTGCGGCACTATGGCCTGCTGTTATATTGAATTCCAACTGTCAAGGGATCTTTTACGTGCACGCCAATGTATACACTGGTCATTGATTTTGCATACCATCCGAACAACTAGACAGCTATCCTTGTCAGGCCCTCCGTCCTGCACCACTGACAAGAGGAAACCACGCAGGAGAATCCCGCTGAACTTTCTCCAGGATAGCAAGCCAGCGTCTTAGCCACTTAGCCACCGTGGCTCCCACAGAAGGAGACATTCTAGTTTGGGAACCAGTTTTCTACCCGAACAACCACCGCGAACCCCCTTCTTTATGACTACACCTCTACTGGGTTACGTGGTTTTTAACGGCGGTGTTTAGCCCACCAGTCGACAGTTGTATTGAAATTAATGTTTCTTTCAGGGTATTTGGAGAGAGAGAGAGAGAGAGAGAGAGAGAGAGAGGGGGGGTAGCGTCCACTCGACACAAACTAGGTCACTTCGGGACTAACACGTGGTTAAATTTCATTTCAATAATTCGCTTGCGCGTAGGGGTCTTTAGCTGTGGGAGGAAACCGGAGGAAGAAAACCCACGAGGTTGGACAGGCGACCCTACTCCTAGTCACGTACAACTGGGGAATCGAAACCATGCCAGTTGACTCAATGACAGACCTTATGATACAACGCGCACAGGATAACCATTCGGCCATCCAATCCCCGGGTGGATAAAGATCAGAGGACAAGTATTACCAGGTAATACCACAAGCAAGAAAACCTTAATTGCAATGCTCAGATAAGCACAAAGAAAAAAAGTAACCTTTAATTGAAGGGAACCATTATGAGCTGTGGGAGGAAACCGGAGGACCCTTAGAAAACCCAGGCGACCCTACGCCTTGTCATGTACAACCGGGAAATCGAAACCCCACCAGCTGACTCAATGACAGACCTTATGATACAACGCGCACACGCTAACAATTCGGCCATCCACCCCCCCCCCCCGGGTGGTTAAAGATCAGAGGACAAGTATTGCCAGGTAATAGATACCACGAGCAAGAAAGCTTGCTTAACTGCACTTATATTGCAATGCTCAGATAAGAACAAAGAAAAAATCCTAACCTTTAATTGAAGGGAACCATTATGATTGTTGTCGACATGATATGTATCCACTTTATAAACTAGTAGAAAGTGTTCAGCAATCTATTTCAATTGCATTGTAATTAAAATTAATAAAATATATATGACAACTCAATCACTTCTATTGTAACTAGATTCCAGACCATTAAATGATCGTATTGTCAGTGGTTAACCCGTATAATGGAATCGTAGAACTTAAACAAATATATCGCGCAATCTGCATATTGATATAACAAGACTGGTCAACAGAATATTTATAAAAGACTAGAATAATTATGGCCAATAGATATATCCAACTTATTCATACTTAGGACTATGACAAAAGCATAATAAGTGTTATTAACTCATCGGACGACGGTGTTGTTCAGGTCGCTTATCGCTAATAAATCTCCTATACTGGCCATATAAACTAATAATAAGCGAATTGGCAATGGTGTCGTTTATATGGTGAACACAGCAAATATTATTTCTCATTAGAGGCTGTTATTCCATCTCAGTGGCAATTGTTGTACTTGTGCTCCAGTGAGACTTGGCTAACAAATTAACAAACGCCATAATTCTGTTTCAATTACCAAGTCAAAGTTCGGGCGTGCGAACCCGCGCCATGTGTCCCATTCGTTTTGTGTACTGGCAGCTTCAGCAATGCAAGAGCACTAACTTTGCTCTTCGTGTGCTCTTACGAACTACCACTCATTTTCTCCTTGGGTAAGTGGATTTTCATTGGATCGATCGATTATCGTCTGCTTGTGTATAAAGCCACGCGAGGCGCGAGAGTTGTATTATCATCTATATTGAATAGTGGGGAGTAATGAAAGTTAGGACTATAAGAAAAATATACGAACAGTGATTCAGTGATTAGGGAAGTTTAAGTTAATACCAAGTTCAGCTTCCATTCATAACTTACGTGTACTCGACGAAACCAGAGTGATTTAAACATTTTATAATATTACGTTACGTCACAGAATGACCGACTGTCCGAAATCACAGTGGATTCTCATCTTAATTCTCTGCATCGTTCAAATAGTCACCGGTAAGTTGTTTATTTTAAGTATATTATTTTTGCTTAGGACATAGAAGGTACGCAATCATTTAATCTAAGCTACATTACACCTTCCACTCAAATTTTAGTCCACTTTATAGAGATGGCGCATGCTGTATGCGGTTACTACTTAGCTTCTAAATACGGTTCGGGAACTTTTCTACGAGGCACTACGACGAATTTCAAAGAAAATTGCATGTTAAATTTGTTTTGAAAATTAGCCGTAATTCAATTGTTTCTTTCACTTCTCAGACAATTGCGTTGATCTATATTCCAAGTGACATGTCAGTAAATCAATAACGAGGACTGCCGAATGCTTTCTTTAATTTTTTTCTACACGGATCATTGTTGTGTGAGTTAGCTTATCTTTCAATAAATTGACCGAACTTGTAATGTTTTTGAAGTCTACATGTATTTATATTATTAGCTAAATTAAGACTTATTGGTCTGGGGTTCAAATTACTCCTTTAACTAATTATAGTTATATTATACCGTGTGTATAATATATGGTTAGCACGTACGCGCTATATCATAAAGCCTGGCATTGAGTCAACGGCGTGGTTTCGAATACCCGGTTGTACGTGACAAGGAGTTGGGTCGCCTGTCCAACCTCGTGGGTTTTCTCCGGGTCCTCCGGTTTCCTCCCACTATTAAAGACCCCTACGCACAAGCAAATTATTAAAATAAAATTAAACCATATGTTAGTCCCGAAATAACCTAGTTTGTGTCGAGTGGACGTTAAATATCTCTCTCTCTCTCTCTCTCTCTCTCTCTCTCCGTGTGTAACATCTGCGAGGAAGTCGTATGACTGTGAACATGAAGTTGACGTATCAAATAATGGTTTAATTATACCGTGTGTAATCGGGTGAAATTTTTATGGAAGTAGAAAGTCTAACAACTGTTTAACAAATCTCTTCTTGATTTTTGTGAACCAAAGTAAGCTTCAACAATACGTACACGTTTGTATATTGCAAATAAAAACGATTATGTTAGTTCTTCATAATCTTCGGCTTAACAGACTAAGGCTTATACTAGAATCCGTGGGTTTAACAATGTTTGGCTCTTTCATATTGAGCGCATAAGTGGGTGATAAGAGCGTATCTTTTGTGGTCCTGCTTGTCATGCATGGTGCACCAGGTGAAAGAGAATCCTAGTAAACTGGGTCGTCAAATTATCATGTCAGAGAAATGACCAAATTCAAACACACAAGAGTTGAAATCCACCTTATAATATGTTATAAACCAAAGACGTAGTTAAGTGAATTGCGTGCACCAATGTTATCTGACAATATCTCTCTGCGTCTGTAGGTGTGTGTGTAGACACAGCTCGCCAATTATGGTGGGTGATATTCTCATTTAAAGATACATTATGGGAGATTCGATAACGAGTTGGCAGTTCTAACTATAATCGTTAAAAACTAGATAATGTAAAGGGAATTTGCTGAAAATTTCAGTCAAATTGATCCACTATGAACCGAGATTTTAGCGATTGAATATTGGGGCTAGCCTCAATCATCATTACTAAAGTCGGTAGGATAAAAAACATAGTCTCGATTATCCAATTTTTGATTTAATTATGAATGGAAGTCGAACAACAAATTGGAACGTAATCCAATAAACATCGCAGGCTAGAGATGTCATCGAGAGTTGATTATGGACCGGATAATTTAATTAATGTCTAATTAATAATTTAGATAACATTTCAGGCCTAAAGAAAGACCTGCAATAGGCAGATTTAGCTCTTGCATAATATATGTTTAAGCTGGGTTCCCACTATCACGATTCATGCGACGATTGAAATCATGGTTTTAATCGTGGAGTAATCGTAGTGATCCTATCAGGTTGTATCACACATTGAGGTCAATCGTAGCAATCGTTGTGATCGTATCAAAACGTATCAGTACGTAACTGCACTTAGCAGATCGTGGACTCAAAAGACACAATCCTTTTGAAAAGCATAGCACGACAGTGGGAACCTGGCATTAGTCAGACTGGTTCAATTCTTCTATTACACAGATAACAATGTACATTATCATCACTAGAATCAGTTCAATTTTGAAAAGTGACTTAACTATTAAGTAGACATATTTAAACAAGAGACAGGTAACGGACATAGATCGATTGTTAAAACAATATCTGTCAACATGTAAAGTTTTCACACGTTCCATTCATCTATATAGTGTTATAGTTATATCATTCCATTCATCTATATAGTGTTATAGTGTATCTTTCTATATATTTTATAATTTTAGTTAAAGTAATAATTGACCGAATTGATCACTCAGTAATCTTTCAAGTTTTTTTTAACGGTTTGGGTTTATACTTAATGTATAATTATATTTTAACAGGCGTTCTTTTTCTATCTCCATATCTTCTTCTGTATTCTGTTTCCTAAGCTTGTATATATGAACCATATTCTACTGTAAGTTTAGTCTGGTGACCAGCTCGTCCTAGCGATACCTATCTCGTTATTGTGACCGTTAGCCAATTTTAGACACTCGTTTATTAAAAGTACAATTTTAACTATTTATTACAAGTTATCGTCGATAGTGTTGTAGTGTTGGATTAAGCTACCCCCCCCCTCCCCTCCCCCAGAAAACAATACTTCAGCAATAGTATAGATATAAATGTACAGTTAAAGGAGCTAAGTCGCTAGTATTTGGGACCTAGAAATTGACACAAATGGATCGCAATGCATATTATAATGTAATATGAATGTATATAAACTGATTTACATTCAATCGTTTCTGTTTTTACTTAATGCCAGAAGTCTTAATCGAATGTCAATCTCTAGCGTCTGGTTATTCCAGTCTACACTTATGATATTTATTGTGCATGCTCTCCAGATAAGAATATGGCGTTATCGTTTGACATGACTTGTGGAATATTTCTAGCCTCGTTCTTAGAGTCCCTTATTACAAATGGCGCTGAAACGCATTTATATACATCAGTTTATACATTCATATGCGTTGCGACCCATTTGTGTCAATTTCTAGGTCCTAAATAGTAGCGATTTAGCTCCTTTAAGCTATCTGAATATGTTTTATACCCTCGTAATTAAATTAAGACACCGGAATACAAAACGTGGTAAATGTTATTTGATTAATGCATGTAAAATTGAATAAATCACCTTCAGGTCTGTAAATAATGTTAATATTTGCTATATAAAATATAGCTTTTAAGAGAATAGAATAAATAGGTTATATTCAAGTTGCATAAAACCAACAATGCATTGTATTGACATAACGAATTTTGACAAATGGAATGTCACAAACTCGGCCACAAATATGTCAAATTTATATTTTTTGTCTTCCTAGCTTTCATATGAAATAACAGAAAGCAAAACGAGAAAACAAACAACACGACAGGAGTAATATACAAGAGAGAGAGATAGAGAAGGGGTTTAACGTCCACTTGACACAAACTAGGTCATTTCGGGACTAATATATGGTTCAATTTTATTTCAATAATTTGCTCGCGCGTAGGGGTCTTTAGCTGTTGGAGGAAACCGGAGGACCCGGAGAAAACCAACGGGGTTGGACAGGCGACCCTACTCTTTGTCACGAACAACCGGGGAATCGAAACCACGACATTTGACTCGATGACAGACCTTATGATACAGCGCGCACCTGCTAACCAGTGAACACTATCTGTAATGACATATTCCCAATTAACACTATCAGCTCATCAACGGTCATCACATGCCATGTGTAATTATTGACGATTGTTTTCATTGGTCTACTAAGTTGACATACTTATGATAATAATTGATACCCAGGGGCTAGGTGAAGGGGACAAAATGGCTAATGGCGCCGTTTGTATCATGTGTTTAAGGTTTCAAACATATAACTTGGGGTCTGATATGATAATAATCGATTCTAGCATGCCCTTCTCCCCCATCCCCTGTTTCTCGAGCATATCCCATGTAATATACTCATCGATTTAACTTCTTTTCTGAAAGGTATATGCATGTAGTTCATTTCATCCAGGTGACATTGTCATAGATAATATATTAAATGCAACTTGAAATATCGAGTGTCAAATCCTAACAACATACATAGGGTACCCGGATCCGGTTCCCAATGAATCAAGGCAGAAAACGGACCCAGTGAAAGGTCACGTTGCCACGGATGATCCTCGTAGCCACTGCTCCAAGAACATGTTGTAACCACTCCTACCGATCTCCCCCACGTGGTGAGACTGCTCATGATGCACTACCGACTTCGTCCATTTATAGATTTTGAATACCGGTTAGGCTTGATTACTTGACGTACTTTTTGCGAAAAGTTATTACGTGTAGGATAAAGCAGAAGACTGAGGTTATGCTGGGGAATGAAAGACTACAGAAAATAACCCGAGAAAAAGAAAGACCGAGACCGGAAGGCCGAGTTTTTTTTTATCGAGGGTTTTTCTGAAGTCTTCCTTCCCCAGCATAACCGAAGTCGAGGACTTTATTTTGCTTATAAACCGTCTATGTTTACATGTACGTAAAATGAGAATATCCCAGAATTACAATAAGAAAACCTTAGATCATGTTTTTTTTAATGTGGAAAAAACCTATCCTGGAAGAATAACCCGTTACAGGTTTAAAGAAAAACTTTCAGAAGAATAACCCCAAATTCCCCTGTACATGTATATATTCAAAGCCCCCGACTTTCAGTTATTCTGGGCATAGAATATACCCCAAAGATCAAAGAGATTTACCGTTATAGGTTTATAAAATAACATATTTATGTTACATTTAGAAGTTGTTAGACGGTCTTAGCCAAATTATCATCGGCTCTTTTAATAATATATCCAGATTTCACAAAGTTCATTTCATCTGTTCTCTTCTAATCTCAAGGGTCGCCATTTACGTCATAGAAGCATATCTTAAAATGCTTAGTAGATAAGAAAGACAAGTGTAAGTGAATGTGAGCAGAGGACTCTGCACTAAATGATTAATCACTGACCAATTCTCTTGTGGTGAGAGCTTAGCAGCTTGTCATTTAA